AGAGTTTTTACACTAACGTCGTTATAACATAAAACTAAATAATACTAAAACCAATACAAGATGTATACAAATAAATTTTGACTGTGTATGTGTGCGTGCTTGCGTACGTGAATACTTGTTTATAAATGAAGTTGTTTTTATTATTTAACTTTAGTAATTTGTCATATTAAACATCTCTTAAAAAGGACAAAGTCGTTATAGGGAGCTTAAACAGTGTACTATGCTGTTGCTTCCTTATTTTATATTTTATATCCTTGTTTTATGTATCCAAGTCGTTGATAAGCCTCTATGCCACTGTAATTTGCATTTCTTCAATAGGTAACAATTATAACTCAAACGGAAGTAAGAGATAGCTTTCAAAATTAACTTTTAGAAAAAGAAGCGTTTTAATATTACGAAATATTCTTGAGTATCTTATCAACAAACATGATAGGAATTAATGTATGTATTAATATATATAGTATATTTATGTACATTATACAGGGGTATACCAGTATTGAACCGCGAGTCACATCAGATATTAACAAAACAAAACCATTCTAATGGCATGCCAAAACAACCGCTGACCTTAGTTTGGTTATACATTAAATGCAATTAAAATTATCTATGCAATCTATCTATCACCATTTATGCGAAGAGCTCTCTTAGTTAAACTAAAGTATTAAACATGGTCGAAAGCTTTTTTAAATTCAACATTGACTCACTAAACAGGTGCTTTCATTCATTGTCAAGAAAACTTAAACAGTAAAACAGAAAAAATTTGTATATACAATAACTGACTGTTAACAAGTCAAGCAGTATTTAAATGTATGAATAAAAGGGCAACAAGATTAATTTTGGCTTTTCTAGGTTTTTATATTACTTTGTAAAATAGATTAGGTCTGTAATTTTGTATGTGGTTTTCAAATTATTAAAAAGTTGTACTACTAATGCTTTCTTTTATTTAATGGAGAAGGCACAAAAAATTGATATGGGTTCAACAAAACTTTCAGCGGAACATAATATACAATGGGAGAAATTTTATCTTTTCAACAACTTTTCATGTAAGGCCTTTTGTTTATTATTGATGAAGTGGATCTTTTTTATTTTATTGCTTGCCACATATTATTCAGATTTAGGCGTGGGAGATCTGATACCATCGTGTTTTTGTGCTGGGTTATTAGAATTTAATAAACCCTTAAACTACCTTGAATATTACTCTACATTTTTACTAATTAAAAAATAAATTAGGAGTCAAAACATCCTAAAGTCCTTAAGTTAAATTCTTGTACTCTATTCTAAAAGCAAAATTTATTTTATTTAGCACATACTTTTGGTATCACCAAAAATATTACTGAAAATTTTGGAACACTCACATTGAATTTAATTTCAATAACCTAATAGAGAAAACTCATATACTTTTAACTTCATACGTCTTTCAATTTTGATAAGAATAAAAAAGCCTTTAAATTGAGGTTTAGTAGTTTTTATTACATTATTAATTTAATTATAAAAAATTGTGTTAATTTTATCTGCTTAACATAGCAGCGCAGTTAATATATGCAAAAGCATTATTAACAACGTTATGGTCAGCGTAATTGAAATCTAATTTTGTTCACAGGTTTAACATTGACTGGTGAAAATTTTATGTTTAGCAGCATGTATTTCAAGGTCAATTTGATATTCTATCGCTAAGATTATGCTCTAATTCTACATATGTCTTTAGTTTAATTTGAGTTTCTTTAGGAAATTTTAAATCATATGCTATATTTTTCTTTCAATTTTTAAATGAACATGTAAAATTTTAGTTCATCAAAGATTTTCAATTAATTTTATGTAGTTGACTGGAAATTTAATGGTTTGGGACGCCTTACTATAGTTTCCGATATGTCCTAGATGATTAAGTGCCTCTACGTTTAAGGTAGTAGAGCCTAGCTGTAGTCACGTTACTACAGCTCGAACATGGGCTGGCTCGATCGGGGAAGTATCACCCTCTACTTATGTACCCGGACTCCGGCGTGAAGTGGATTTAACAGCTGCGTTCGTCCGATGAGCGAGAGCCGATTGCTTTTTCCTGTTCCCACCCTTTCCTTCTCATCTCATAATTCCCAACCTATCCACTTTCCTCTATAAGCAAGGCTGGTCACGAATTTTTATCATCTCTTATGTTGTGAATGAATTGCGTCCATCGGCCACGGTGACTACTTCCCTAATTGCCGGGATCGCCCCCATTCTCCGAGGGAGTAAGTCCGGTCTTTGCCAGGACAGGCCAGTCACTGGTGTACCCTGTCGCTGACGGATCCGGGGTACACCAACATAGCGGCCGATGGCTTTCGCAGTGGTTTCCCTTCCGGCCCCACCAAGGCCGGTTGGACGGCTCCTAAAAAGAGTTTCCCTGCGTAATCAAAAACAAAATCGGTGACTACTTCCCATCAAGTAGACCGCTACTCGCTTGCCGAAGTTGACAAAAAATCATGTGTACGACGTTTTTGATGTGATCGACCCGTAACATTCTCTGTCACTGGACACTTAAGATTTTCTATTTTAATGGGGTTATAAGTATTGAATTTTAAATAAAAGAAGAAAAATATGCTCTATTACATTTATTATTAAATAAAATCTTCTAACACATTTTACATTCGACACAAAATATATGGCACAAATATTATTTACATTTTTCTATATATATTATTTTCTTTACATCTATAGATATGTTAAGGTGATTTATCTTTAATCAACATTTTTATTTTAAATAAATATATGATTTTTATACAAAAATATTAAACTTTCCATTACACATAACCAACGTAATGCAATTATGTACACATGTATGTACTTGTACAATGGCTTTGCACAATTATGTACAGTATAAAAAAAAAAACTATTAACCCGTTTAATTAAGCGTACATATTACAATTATTATCTATGTATTATGATAAATTAATTCTAAAGAGTTTCTTTTATAATGATATAACTAATTACCTAAAATGTGCATACATATTCACACGCTGCATATACAGACATATAAACTATAACTAATATATTATTTTATATTTAATAAGTTTCCTTTTTAGTTATTTACTTAATTTACACAGTCCCCTTAGTATAAAATATTTTGCTAACTTCATATTAACAATTTAAAAATGTCATATTCATAAATTATCATATATCTTGTTAACAATATGTGTAATCGTATACAATGATAATTTGAAAAATTTACACTGATAGTATTGTATTTACATAATATTATTGTATATACAGATATAGCGTGACCTTATTTTGGTCTACATTCTCATATAAAATAACCTAAAGTGCAAAAATGTTATTTAAATTTTCGGTAAACAGAGATGGTTTAAAGATTTTTTATATTATTTAACGTCTGCGACTCTGTTCTGACAGACTTTAATTAACGCTTTCTCATTTTCTAGTCAAAAATGTCTCATTACTATGTTCTGAGATAAGTAATTCGAAAATATTATTAAAATTTTTTTGCTAATAAAACAACTAAACAGTCAACTACCGTTGCAAATGGTTGGGGGGGGGGGGAATCATCAAATCACCCCTCTGGTCCTGGGTGGGGCAAGAGAGATTGTCAGACTCCTACTAACTATATTTTATAACAAAATTAGATGGGAGTAAGCGAGTATGTTGAAGTATATTATTATTAAATAAAATTATATAATAATTAAAATAATGTTTTCACTATAAATATATGAGATATAAAAGCATTATAAATCAATCAATAAGGGTATAGAAATACTAAGATGCCGCTAAGAATGCTCAGCATTCCTTAAAAGATCTATAGAATGTCAATCGTCCTTCGGGATACCGAGGAATTTCTATTAATTATTTAGGCTATCACTTAAAATATCTGGTTTCGTGCTTCTTATTTTGTCAAACGTTCTAATACAAAATAATAAAGATATTTATATTTTTTACATATAAAAAAGAGATACATACGTACAATTAAAAAACTTCTCAATAATTTAAAGTAACTGAAGTTAAAATTCTTTCAATCTCACGAAACCTAACAAGTTATTGCTTACATTACTTATTACATACGTAATTTTCATTGCTTTAAAAACGATATTATTTTTTTTTATAATAATAAATATTGCCAATTTTGAACAATGCGTTTTCTATTGTTTTAAGAAAATTAATAAAAACATTAATACATTTTTAATTTGAATAGATCAAACAATCAGAAATTGCCTTTAGAAACCAATTACTGGGAGAGTTTGAGTGAAAAATACATATTTGTTCAAAAACAAACCTTATTCTTTTATAACAAGATTCATTTACATTTATCTAGTGAAAAGACAGTACCGGTTCCTTTTAAATAGTAAGTTAAGCTCTGGACTGTTATTGTCGAGAATGAGATAATGACGGAGATCCAATAGATTGAGATGAACTCTCAAAATGAGATATAATTAGCATTTAAATATAGATTGGAAACGGAGTTGAAGTAAATTGAAAATGTTAAAACTTTGTTTTGATTTCGTATAAAACATAAGATTCATTTAGTTGATTATTTTTATTCCTACTCACATACTCTACGAGGTATTTCATAAATGTCAAGCCGTTTTATTATGTCTTTAATGAGAATGACATTTATATACAGCTCATATAATTAATTTATTCTTCATACGTAGTTTATCATATGTACATATAATCTCTGGAATATGATCAATACTGACCTTTAACTTTATATATAAATACATATATAATAACTAGTTATTTACATTTTGTTTTAGTGACTTATAAAATTATTTGGAAAAAATATAATATACAGTTACATTACGTCACAATTATTGTATCTAGTATATACAAGTAGTTGATAGTTTATTCATATTTAAACGCAGGTAGCCACAGAATGTTCCTAAATTTGCCAAAGTAAAATAATCCATATTGCTTAAAATATTCAATTTTGAAACTCATTGGATCTTCAGCTGAAAATGATCCCTAAGTATATGAATTTCTTGTTGCTTATCTAAGTCCTTTTAATATAAAAAATCTTCTTTCTAAGCCCTTATAATTACATCATCTGGTTTGGAACAAGAAGCTTGTGCTCGTAATACGTCAGCCGATGTAGACTTTACACAGTTGTTCATATGAATATCTGATGAAGCGTTGGAGTGGTGATGATCACGACGATGCTGGTGACAGTAACGGCGTCCGAAACTACCGCAAAGAGACCTGACAAAATATATCGTTGAAGAAAAAATATGGGCACAAATAATTCAATGATGAGATCGAACTTTAGAAACTTTTTTAACTAACAACTACTCCATAATGAGATTTAAGACTTTCTCAAGTATATATTTAAATAAAACTATTAATTTCAGATTACTGCACGTTATTATATTATTTTAAAAAACGAAATGAGAATCACGGTTGCTGCAAATTAACCGAAACGTCAGGAGTAAGTAATTTTGGAATAATAAAATAACGCGGAGTAATACGAAAATATAAGTTTTATTTAACCACTACACCTATTCACATATTTGCTTACATAAATATAAATAACGTCTTTTTAAGTCACAAGTTAGTAAGAAGAGATATCTTCTTCTTCTATATATATAAAAATGGATTGCTGTTCCTTAGTCTCGCTAAAACTCGAGAACAGCTGAACGGATTTATCGTATCTTAGTCTAGAAATGTTCGTGGAGGTTCAGGGAAGGTATAAAAGCTGAAAAAAATTGATTCATTACTGGGAAAACCATAAAAACAGCCCTTTTCTATTTCCCATACAAACGTTTTTTTTTGACATTAGATTTGACAACTAACTAATATGTCAATCATTCTGTTTGATTGAAACAGGAAAAACCTGATTATTTATGGCGTATTATTATCTAAGACGGAATAGAGTTCGCCTGGTCAGCTATACCTACATATATTACTTTTGACCAAACTAACGCGGACGAAGTCGTGGGCAAAAACTAGTCAACAATAAAAATAGCTTATTATTACTTTAATCTTAAATTAAGACTTTCTTTTTGGATTAAATGCCATCATTTTAAATTACTGAAGATTACTTATTTATTGGAATAATATTTCAAATATATAGTGGTCCCAAGTGATTGCAGAAAAATGAAACATTAAATTCTTTAAGCTCTGAATTTGAGCAAAATTCTTATAGAATTGCAAACAGAAAATGTGAATAATGTGAATTTTTATGAGCAGTGCTTAATATTGCTGGGAGTCTTATTTATATTTTTCATGGAACTGTAATCTTGGAAATTGTTACCGTTACATTCATCTCCTGTATTTTATCCCGCAAAATTTTAAAGTCTAATTTTAGAACTTAAATATAATTTATGTTTCTAGAAATATACATAAATGTATTATATTTGAAATAAATTTAAAATAGTTATTTTCATCTAACCTGCAGCATGAATCCAACGTTTTTCTAAAGGCTGCTCTGAAATCCCGGTTGAAGTATGCGTATATGAGTGGATTTAGAGCTGAATTGAAGTAGCCAAACCAGAACACGGCCGCCACTACAGGCGGTGGAGAGGGGCAGGACTCCCCACATAGAGCTGTTATTATATACCTGGTGTAACAAAAAATTATATTAGAAAAATCAATAACTTTATCTTGACTAAGAGCAAATTAAAACTGCTATTACAAAGTTTGTTAGTCTTTCCAGAGATCTACGGGACAACTAGATTTGCATACCTAATTTATTTCGCTATATTGACTCCTTGCTTAAGACCATTAGAAGTGATGTATATAAATATATATAAATTACTTATTATGAAATAGTGTACTGATAAAAAATGACAAATATTAATTTAAAATGATCTAAAATTGATTATATAGATTCTAACCATAAAAAGAATGGCAGCCAACAAGCTAAGAAGGCGCTCATGATGATTCCTAAGGTCCTTGCGGCTTTCCTCTCTCTCTTCATTTTGCTGCTCGCCATCGGCTGCATCTGAATACTCTGACGTTCTCTCATCACCTCACCAACTGAGATCCCGTTGATCTGAAGATGCTTGTCCAACAGCAGGGCAGCCACTTTACTCCTGGTTTATATAGATACATACTTACAATATAGAATAAAAAGATATACAATATGCTATAGAGGTAAATATTATCATAAAAAACATTACATTTCTAAAAGTTTCAGCAATATGATATAAATATTAAAAGTTAAATTTGAAATGTTATATGAAACCAAAAAAATATAAACAAAAATATGTGTTGGTAATTTACTTTTATATTTCATTTTGAATCTAGTATTAGAAATATTTACGATTGTCATTTATTAAAAGCGTATTTCAAATATTTGATGCATTACTTTGTAAAATATTTTTTATCCTACGTAATCCCTATGCTAAAGAAATTTCAGACTATATCAATAATTGCTTCTAGCTTTAAGTTAATTTGTCGGATTATTTCAAACCCGGCAGTTCCTCGTTCACAGTATTTATAGTACTATAATATTTTAGATTCAGGAAAATCCTATTTGAATTTTCAGATCACAAGAAAATCTATCAAAATTTTGCTGAAAATGACGTTGTAAACATATTTCTAATATATTTAATTGTCCTTTTAATACCTACAATATATTTAATATTGCCATCATTATGCCAACAAGATTACCAAAATTCTCTGATGAATTTTAAAACATTTCCTATTTATAGACATCATGATTCAAATGAAAGCACTGATAATACAACGTCATTTGGCACGCCTTATGTTTCACTTTATCCTAAACAAACAGTGAGTGAAATTCAATATGTTTGATGAACGTATTATTATTGTTCATTGTTTAGATATCAGAAGTTCTAAGTAGTTAAGTCTTAACTTATGTATTAAACATAAGAAGGTTAATATACAATAAGTAATAGTTAACTTGATACTCTTTAAATAAATAGAAAATGACTTTAATTTTACATGATCTTAATAAAAATTAAATCATGAAAACTTTTGGATATCAAAAGAAAATATTGAATTTTTGTTTTCGTAGGTATTTTAATAAAATGTAGCTAATTTTACAAACGGTGTACTATAAAAGGGCAAACAAAATTCATCTAATCAGATATTCAACTCGTGACTTTTATTTGAAGTCGAAAATTTAGCATCGCAAAGTAAACCGCTAACCTTTAGTCAAATACTAACAAGCCACCGATTGAAATTCAGCAGAACAAACTTGTTATGTATAATACATGGTAATTGTTTCGAACATCAGGCAACAAATCTCTTTGATCAAATTTTAAACGATGTTTGTTACGTAACTGGTATTTAGTCATTGGTTAGCAAACAATCCAACTTCATAAATTTCGAGAAGATTGAGAACAAATTACGTATCAATTTTGTTTACGATTTATACAGAGATAATGAGCTAAGTTTGGTTTTGAAGTCATAAAACTCATTTGACTTTATTTTAACTTTGACTTATAAGAAATGAAAATGTGGATAATACTATATTTTAATACTTACCTGTACAACATCCTCTCTTGACGGTCTGCTTCCACGTAGATGCGATAATACATGTATAGCATTATAACGCCTGGAATCCAAAAACTAACACTGCTGGATATAACTGCATACACTCTGTTCACAGTAAAACTGCACACTTTTGGATGTCTTTTTCTAAAGTCCAGATGCTCGTATGTGGTGTACCAACCCATAAAAATTGGAAGAAATGAAACCAATGCGGGGCTACACCATACTACAGCTAGCATAATTCCAAGCTTGCTTGTTGTCATTATAAGCGGATAGTCCAAAGGCTGGACAATAGCGTAGTATCTATCAACACTAATGCAACACAAATGTAAAATTGAGGCAGAAGAAAAATATACGTCCAAGGAGTTCCAGACATCGCACATGAAATATCCGAAAAGCCATTGTCCATTTGTTATTTCGACGCTGAAGTTGAAACACATGGCCCATATCGCTACCAACATATCTGCTAACGCTAGCGACACGACGAAGTAGTTGGTTATAACTCTCAGTTTTCTATGCCTCATCACGCTGACAATAACAAGCAAATTACCGAAAATTGCTGCCAAAATAATAAATAACATGATAATGCACTTGAGAAACACCAGAAAGACGATAAAAGGTACATCATCGAACTGATTTGTATAGACGAAATCGTTTGTTGTCTCGTTTTGTTCAAAAGTTTTGTTACCATATGTATCTGTCAAGTACATTGATGTTGAGAGATCTCGGAAGTCCAATGAAAAATTTTGCGGAGTATCGTTCAGAACGACATCAATATCCAGTTTCATGATTTCACATTTTGTATGAGTGGACTTTAAGTTAGGTTTATCTCTTTTGTTAAGGTAAATGAAACGGCGGTGTGTAGTTCTGCGTTAATGCTCCCACCCATTGTGTCCGCTCGTTACCTGAAAAAGGAAAAGTTGTTTGAAAAAGTGATTTCTTTTGTGTGCGAACGTATTTGAGCCGTTGAAAACTCATCGGAAAAAGTTTTTATTTTTATATTTTGTGATAACCCTCCGTCGGTTTTATGAAAGTAAGAAAAAGTTTTGACTTTTGTTCAAATGAAAAGTAATTAAGGTTAACTGGTGTAATTTATTACTTACCGAACTAACACAAGTACGGTTTAAATAAAAAACATATTTTAAATATTTGTGTTGAATTCAAATAAATTATATAAAACAATAAATTTATTTTTATGACGCGCTTTATTTTAATAGAACTGAAAACAGTTGCATCTATCAATATAATTTTGTTTCGATTAAAAAAAAAAAATATTGAAAGAAATAATATTTTATTGTCAATATATTTAACTCCATAAAAACTAATACATAAGAGAAATTTGGAGAAGATTAAATTCTAACGGTCCCCTGACTTCTTAAAGTAGGGATAAAAGGACTTCCGTGATATCATCCTTGATTATTTCTTCTCGTGTAATTTCAAGCAGTTACGTATATTCAACAAAAATATTTCAAAAGTTCTGATCATAACAAATATATCATAAAAGTAAAAAAATACTAATAAAATTATGATTTTTTTCATGATACAAATATGACACAACGCTTTTAATTTGGTTTCATAATATATGGTATACCAATGTCTTTAAGAATACCAAGACAAAGTCATAATTAATTTAAGTTATTTTATTTTTGTGAGTATGTTTATTTATAATTATTTAATACATCATATTGATTACCATCATTGAAATTTCTTTACTTGTAACATTCATCAAAGAAAATTCTGTTTATTTGATTGAAATGTTAATAAAATACGTAATAAATTTATATATATAATTTTCCCATTTTATGTTCTCTGTATATTTATTTATACCTATTTTAATTTATTCTTTAAAAGCCTTATATGCATCTAAAAATAAATTTTAATGTAATGTTCTTATTTTAGATCAAAGAAATTTAAGTATCATTGAAATTCTCAAATGTAGCGAAACAAATCATCTGTAAGATTAATGTCCCCTCAACCACTCATCTATCGCTTTAGAACCTTCGACTCAGAGGCTCCTTGAAATTGAAGATTTTAAATGAAAAACATAAGTGGTTAACAATACATGGCTTTGTAGAAGAGTTTTTTCAAATTATATAACCACATCAAAGCCGGTTTCACTCTTGTTCTTCTACCTGGCAATTTCCCAGCATTAGCTAGGATCTGCCTTATATGTTGTAAATAGTTTTGGCTAATTGTTTTTACAACCGGCCGCCTGCCTGACATCAACCCTCTTTGGGAATGCATTAATCAGTGATGTCTAAATACTCTTAGAAAGTACATGTGACTCGGGAAAATCACATTGGTACTTGTCAGGATCGACGAACCCGCGCCCTCATGCATGAGAGGTGGGCCTTTTAACTACCAGGCCACCACTGACTTTAAATTCGGTTTCATTTACTAAATGTATTTAAATATTTATATTTATTAAAATTATGAGCTAAATAATTATGCTTTGTTTCTGCCCTTCAAAAATTCTTTACACAAATTTAAAACGTGATCCATGTACTATACTTTCTTGTATCAGTCCTCAAATTAACAAAGGAAAACTTTCACACTAAATTTAGTTCCTCCTACGCCACATTTAGTTTGGATAGAAATATACTAAAACTTTAATTACCTTTGACAGAAAACGCCTTTAAAGTCCTAATAACATTTTAAATTAAATAAAACAGATAGAAAATATACGTATACTAGACTGTCATTTTATTTTGCTATCATCTTAAAATCAAAATAAACGAAACTTAGTTTAAAATCTCATTCCAAAACCGTTATTTATGTTAAATGTTGGTATACACGTAATTGAAATAACTTTTCCAATACAATTTACTAAGTTACACTGTAAAGAGGTCTAGCTTTGAACAAAAACGTTCCGAATTTATTTTCAATGTCAATAGACTTTACTTAATCACGAGAGTGTATACATACTTTTGTGAGAATATCTTTTGTCCTTTTTACCTCTCTTATTTCATCTGAAATTCCCTTGACATAAGTCAAGATTTTAAAGGTAGAGTTGGTGATAAATTAAACCAAACTTTATTTGTATATTAATTAGGTTGGATTTTAAATTGATTGTTTATTTACATATATATTCTTAATGAGAAAACCGTGATGTATTAATGAGTAATATATCCATCAGAAGTGTCAGTCTTAAGTCTACACTAACCCAGACTTCAGTTGTAGCCGTAGACTAAGCCAAGTAATTACATAGATCAATAGAGGTGCAGGTGTTTCAAGTTTGTGTAGGATAGTTATGAGAAAACTTAATGTTGGACATTTTTCCTACTTTCCGTTCCATGGTTTAAATATTTAGCATTTCCAGTTATATGTATATATGAAAGATCACATTCTCTATAAAAGTGTAAGGTTATAATATCAGTGTACATATACGATACTATCTCAGATAACAAATCGAAAATATAATACAAAAGTTTTCATTCCATTTTTTTTTAAGTAACTTCTCCTTTGTCTCGTCAACAGGACACCTATCTATAGAATTTAAAGAAAAACAAAATGTCTTCCCTATACTTTAAATTGAATTACAATTTGAATACTAGAGATATACAAAGGAATATTATTTGGATTTTAAAACTTACTAATCTTATATTATCCAAGTTATGAACGTGACATGGTCTCCCTAACCAACCATTTGTCTCGCTGACATCTGTGGTGATCGACCAAGTTACCTTCAGGAAAGTGACCCATTTAACGTACACTCCACAAACTTATTTAATTTGACTTTGGAATTATGCTATGTAATTATTCAGGTGGCTTTTAGTTTCATTATTATGATTAAAGTTTTAATACTTCGGAAGATAATTAGACGTTCTTATTTATATTGACTGAGTTAAATTCGTTTTATAGGCTCATATTTTTAAGTAAAATCCAGCATCGCTCTTTAGATTTTATTGTTATAGCTTCTCATAATTTCAAGAGCTTAGTAATCAACATTGATAATAATCTACAGGTATTCTTAGAATATATCAGACTTGTGTATTTACATCACATATAACCGTTCCTTGTATAATAAAAATGCTATCATAATATTTTTATTCGCGTTTTAATTCTATAATAATTACAAAAGTACTTTATGATATACAAATAATAAAAGAATACATAGATATCAATCTGGAAGGATCTATAATAAGCATCAAATTATCACCATAATGCTATTAATTCTATGAATCAGAATGTAAAAGCAATAAGTGTTCATTAAGGCATCGCGAAACCCTGTAGTGTCTGAGACAATATATAGCATGAATGAGCACTCCATCGCCCTGCAGAATTCACTGAACCTATTACATTGCTTCTGCAACGTGTAATATTTTTAGACGTTTTTATTTTTACACCAGGGGCTGTATAGTCAGTTACATAGGAGAATATCCAACAGTTATACGGTCCATACCTTTCTCATGAGAATTTCTTACGTAATATATTTAATAATTTTAACAGTTTTAGTACCAATTTTTTTATAAATATATTTTGTAAATAGTTAACAACAGGAGCAACAAGTTGATTTAATGATACAAAGTGACGACTATCATTTAAACTTTATAATAAAATCCCCAAACACTTTTCTCAAATTTATATGAAACCTAATAATACGAGTAGACCATTAATCATAAAAGCTATTAAATGACAAAATTATTTTTATCATGAGTCTAGACTACCTTAGGTTTCGACGAGCCTCATTTAAGAATAACAATTCTATTTTTATACTATCAATGACATTTTATTTTCCTAATCTGATACAGTTAAAAAACTTTCTTCGATGTATTTCAAATGTTTTGCGTTTATAAAACATTATACGGTTTTGTTAAGCTATATCTGTGAAATATGCAAAATGGTTACTGGTTCCTTTATTAATTCATTCAACTGGCTCTTAAATTCACATAATACTGTATTAGCCTAATCAAATGTTACATTTCCGTGTTTTATATAAAATATATCGGCTATATCACACAACTATTTCAATGCATTTATGTCAAAGCATTTTAGTCAAAAAGCTATGTTTTATCGAAATTTATGATTATTTATACTTGACTATCCTATATTAGCATGGTAGTGTTCAAAGGTTTTTATAAAAAAACGTAACATCTAAAAAATGTAAATACTCTTACTACTACTATTAATATTATGAAAGAATCTTGATAGTACAGGTAAATACAATATGCATTGTTTGTATTGCGAGTGTAATGCAGTATTTATTTCAATAGAAATAAGCTGTTATTCTAAGAATAACCTTGGAAATAATAAAATTAATATGAACTTATAAATAAACAAACTGTAAGTATAACAAAGGTATGTTGTTTTCTAAACAGGGTGACTGGTGAATTACTATCAATATTTAAGGAGCATACTCGATACATGATTCTCATTCGAATTATGTAAAAAAAATAGGTACTTAATTTTTGACCAAATTTCCGTATAAATAAATAAAGTGTGTACACGTTCCAAGTGTTCCAAGTGTGAACGCGTGCGGCGGCGTACTGATACAACACTACGACGCCGCCGCGTCTGTGTGAGTGTGTGTGTATACCTAATCTGTAGGGTGTTCACACGATGCGTAATTAATTACATAACTTTTGGTTAACTTTACTTAGAAGTTTATTGATATTTATGTTATATTAATTTTTATTTTGTCATATATGATCGTCAAATATCACGTCCTCAAATATCGATAGTAATTCACCAGTCACCCTGTATATGTTCCTTAGTTGTTACAGTTTTATAATTTTTTTTTAATAATACTCTTTTAACACAAAAAGAGTATCTTACATTAGCAGTCATA